GAAGAAATTGATAATTGTCCAGAGATGAATAAAACAATTTGGAGCCTGAGGAGTGATTGCATTGCTGGGTGTTGTAACCATCTAAACCTGAAACACAGAGCATGTCTCAATGCCCCCAGGCCACCCAGAGAGGGTATAAAAAGGCTTCTGGCTCAAAAGTCCTCACACCACAGCTCCTCACTTCTCCTCTCCGTTGATCTCAGTAAGTCTCATCCAATTTCTTTACCACTCTGGGGGTGTCAGCTTGGGCATGAAGTTCTGGGCGAGCACAGAGGAGCTGCCTGGGAGGGAGGAAGGAGGAGAGGGAAGGGGAGAAGGGAAAAAGAGAGAAAAACCTCCTGAACCTTTGCAGAGCAGCTCCATATGGCACAGGCTGAGCCCTCCCTGCTGCTGGCGAGGCTGAGCAGGGTGGTCTGTGTGGTGGCCCATGAGCAGTGGGTTGACTCAGGCTCCTTGGTGTGTTGCAGGTTCACCTCTCTGCCCAAAAGATGTCCTTCTACAGCCACCATCAGCTCAGCTCCCGCTGCTACCCTCCCTGCGAGGTGACCTGCCCAGCACCGTATGCCAACGCCTGGAACGAGCCCTGTGTCACCTCCTGTGGGGACTCCAGGGCCGTGGTCTGCCCACCCCCCGTGGTCATCACCTTCCCAGGGCCCATCCTCAGCTCCTGCCCTCAGGAGAGCTTCGTGGGCTCCTCAACCCCCGTGGGGCTGGATCGCCCCATGGGCCTGCAGGGCTCCCTGGTCTATGGGGGCTTCTTGTCCTCCTCCTCTTCCTCCAGGAATCTCTGGAGCCAGCAGTCTGGGGGCTGTGGGCCATGCTAAGCATGGCAGAAGGTGTGGATACCTGGAGAAACCGTGAGGGAACTGACAGCAAGACCTGGGCTGGCAGCTGAGCAGAGGAACACAACTCTCCGCAGCACAGAGGAGCTTTGGGTGCTGCTCAGCACCCATGGGAACTGCTCTCCTGCTTACCCTACTTACATCCTGTTTGCTTTGAATGTCAGTTTCCTCTGAATGTGTCTTTCCCCTTCTTAAAACCCAAACTGGTGCTGCCACAGCATCTATTTCTCACTGTCTGAGCACTTGTGTCCCTGGGAACTGTCCGTGGTTGGTGTCAGCTCTTTGGGACCTTGTAGCTTTTCATTTGGTAGGTTTTACTTTGATACCTACAGGTCTAATAAGATCCACAGATGTTCCCTCACCCTGTGATTCATCCAGGCCATTTGGATCCTGAACCAAGCCAAAGCACAACGTGATGAAAATGAATCATTTTGATGAAGATCATTATGTTGGACCAAGTGTATCTTGTATTCTCCCTTTACTTTGCCTAAAATGTTCACTTCTGTCCCAATAAAAACCTTTGTTTGCATCCAAATAACTTTCATCTGTTTGATTTCTGCTCTGGTTTGGGATCCTGCAGCCTCTGCAAAGCAATGGACCCAAACCATCCCTTATCCTATGGATCTGGGGATGTGTGTTTGGCTCTTACAGGTGTTTACATAAAGCCTATGGATTCATTCCTCAGAAAATGCTGTGCACAACACCCAGGGCTTGCCTGAGTGCCTGATTTAATCTGCCCAGAGAATCAGGGTTGGGACAACTGCCCAACCCTTGGAGAAAATTTTAAAGACCAGTATGAAGTACTAAATAGCCAGTCCAGAAGTGCTTCAATAGCTCATCCCCACTTCCTCTGCCTTCCATGGATTGTTGCCAGAACTTTTTTAATTCCAAACACCATTAAAACCAAAAACAAAGGAATATTAGCTTATGCTATAAGTCTCTTTAAGAAGGGAATATTGGAGAGTGCAGAGCAGCAGAGAAAACTTCCCTGAGCCAGAAAATGAGCTAGTGATGAAATCCCAGCTGAAACCACTTGGAATGATCCAGCACTGGGGATGAGTGGCTGGGGAGCTAGATGAGTGGCTGGGGAGCTGGACAAGGACCTGGGGGTCAGCAGTGGCTGGACATGAGCCCAGGTGTGCCCAGATAGCCAAGAAGGCAAATGGCACCTGATTGACTTGGATCAGCAATAGTGTGGCCACAGACCCAGGGCAGTGATTGTCCCTCTGTGCTGGGCACTGGGGAGGCACCTCCAGGGCTGTGTTCAGCTTCAAGCTGCATCAGGGCAGGTTCAGGTTGGACATCAGGAGGAATTTCCTCATGGAAAGGGCTGTCAGGCAGTGGAAGGGGATAGGGGCTGCCCAGGGAGGTGGTGGACTCACCAATCCTGGAGGTGTTCAAGGAACAACTGGATGTGGCACTCAGTGCTCTGGCCTGGTTGACAAGGTGGGGATAAATCACAAGTTAGACTTGATGACCTTGGAGGTCTTTTCCAACTTCATTGATTCTATAAAAAGTGTTTTAAGACTAAGGGAAGAGGAAGATTGAATGTGCAATGAAGAAATAAGCAGCTCTGTCTGTGTCAGCTGAATGTTCCCTGTGCTGTGCAGGTGTTTCCAGTTACCTGTGACTTCCCCCAAAGTGTCCTACACTATCCTTGTCCTTATTCTTATGGACATGAAGGTAATGTTGAGCCTCCCTTCCATTCCCTGGAGTGTTTTCTGTCTCCAGTAGTTTTCCAGCAGTGCAGGGCAAGGTCTAAAGCAGGAATACAACCTAGGAAAGCTGCTTGTGAGCTTAGGGCTGAGAGGGTGGGTGGGTTTGATTGGTTGAGGTCTTCACTCCCCTCTCACTGCAGAGCTTAATTAGCATTGGAAGCACCAACTCTTTGCCAGGAGTTGTGTTACTTCATCAAAAGAGGCAGAAAGCAAACCCAGAATACTCAAATGCTGATGATGCAACAGGATTTTTTATTGGGGGATAAAGGAGGAAAGTTTACACAAGCAAAAGGAGATGATACAGACAATGAGGTATGTGAAGCTCTTAGAAATCAGGTCTCTGGTTACAGGAAGTTCAGTTCAAGCACAGATTTCTTTCATGGGTTCTGTCCAGTTTTCATCTAACATAACACTTGGTTGACATCAAGACATCAGGCAGCATCAAGTGGGGAAAAATCACAGTATACAAACTTTCCCATTATGCTTCCTGCCTGATGTTATTGGGAATGTGGGAGGAGTATTTATGCACTTGAAAATTTGGACCATGAGAAGAACAGAAGAAGATATTTAGAGCTAAGAAAGGAGGTACAGAAGTGGGTCCAGGTACAAATACAACCTCACGTGTCAGCAAGAATCAGCCTTTTGATCTCAGATCTCACTCCTGAGTTTGGATCTTGCATTCAGCATCCTGAGTTCTCTTGGTGCAAGAAAACTCCTGCTGGGTTTGGGAGGGCTCACGGCTCCTAAATCTGTAGCCACTGACCCTCTGGGAGCAGTAAGGGTAGGAGAACTTGCTCCCCTGTGATGCCCCAGAAGCAAAAGAGCCTCTGTAGCCATAAGATGCCCCATAGGCAGCTGAGGACCCGATGGCAGATGGTTCTGAGGATCCCACGATGCTCTCCTGAGGGCAGGAGCTGAGGATTGGCCCAGGGAAGGTGATGACCACAGGGGGTGGGTAGATCACTGCCCTGGAGTCACCACAGGAGGTGACACAGGGCTCGTTCCAGGCGTTGGCCATGGGCTGAGGGCAGGACACCTCGCAGGGGGTGAAGCAGGAGGAGCTGCAGAGCTGTCTGTAGGAGGACATGGTGCTGGAGTGCAAGTGGATCTGAAACACAGAAAGACACAAGTCTTTGAGTCATAGAATCATGGAATCTCCTCAGCTGGAGAGGACTAAGAAGGATCATCAAGTTCAGCTCCTGGCCCTGCACAGGACACCCCAACAATGTGCCTGAGAGCATTGGCCAAACACTTCTGGAGCTCTGTCAGGCTTGGGGCTGCGATCACTGTCCTGGGGGGCTGTTCAGTGCCCAAACACCTCTGGGAGAAGAACCTTTCCCTAATATCCAGCGTAAACCTCCCCTGACACAGCTCCATTTGTTCCCTCAGGTCCTGTTGCTGCTCACCAGAGCAGAGATTGGTGCTGTCTCTCCACTTGAAGCACTTAGCAAGGATTGCAGAATCCCTCAAACAGCTGGAGAACAGCAGCCCCAAGTACTCTGCAGGGTCAGCAGAGGTGCTTTAACAGCCAGCCCAGCCCAGCTAGTGCCATGACAGACTCTCATGCAGGATTCAGCCAGAGTTATTGCTAAAAGAGCACAGGAAAAAGGTACAAAGAGTGAAGAACTTACTTGAGTCCCAGAGGAGAAGTCAGGAGAAGTCAGGAGAAGCTGTTGGGAGGGAGGTGAGCAGCACAAGCTTTTATACTGCTGCTCAGGTAGTCTGGGGGATCTGAGCCAACCTCTGCACATGATGTTTGATTGGTTTCCAAACAGAAGTGATTACACATCAGGACTCAGAGCATATAATTGCTTTGCTCACTCTCTGCAATGCTGAGGCAATTCCCAGCTTTCCATTACCCCTCCCCACGTCATCCCTGTCAACTTTGTGATCACTTAGGTTCATCAGATTTCAGCCTGTCTGAGCCAATCCCCAGGAATTCTCCTCTGCAGGAATGAGGCAGTTCAGGGAAGCTTAACACAACTGCATGAGAGGTTATATCTCAGCTCAGAGACCCCCAGCAAGTGATTAATTGCAGCAATACATTTCATTGTGGATCATGAAAACATGTGCCTAATTCTGCTGAAAATGGAGAAGGAGGTAAAGAGAAAACAACCAGGAAAAAGGAGATTGATTCACTCTCCCCCAAAACCAGCGAAGGGAGTGGATTGATACCAGGAAGGACCTGGTCATTGAAGGTTTGGAAGGAAATGAGCCATGAGCTGTGGTGTTGTGTAACATGATGAAGCAGAGAACACAGGAGTCACTGGGAGAAGTCAGAAGACTTTTGCATCAAGATGAGCTGAATGTGCAATAAATATCAGCTGGCAAAGCAGCAGGTCCTCATGAGCAAGAGGTTTTTATATACCATTTGTAATAACTTAGGATCTGTCTGAGGGCAGGGCACCTCCCACCAGCCCAGGTTGCTCCAAACCCCATCCAGCCTGGCCTGGAACACTCCCAGGGATGGAGCAGCCACAGCTTCTCTGGGCAACCTGTGCCTCAGCACCCTCACAGGAAGGAATTTCCTCCATAAACTGGTATAAAATGCATATCATTAAAACACAAAGTGTATAAAAAGTCGAAGTGTATAAATACAAATTGTATAAAGCAAATGATAAAGTGTATAAAGCTTCATATCACAAATATTTGTGTAATGGCTGTCACCGAAACACTTAGGGTTTATGTCAAGGCCTGGAATTTCCTTTCAACTCCTTCATTAGTGCCAGAGATGAGTCACTGAGGATTATTTTGGCATCAATGGGTTAGAGATTTGGAATCCACACAAATAAAAGCAGAAAACTTCATGTTGTGATGCCAAAGGGTTTTATTGGAACTGCCAAGTGGGATTTATCAGACAAAGGAACCAAACAGAGGATGTATTAATTGCTATTATTATCAATTAAGTTACATTTACAAAAGGCAAAGTAAATTGAGCACAGAGAATGGAAATGGGAGTGGAGATCTCATCCAAAAGGGGAATGCAGTGTTTGGGCTGTTTCTGGGGATGAAGGACTGAGCTTGGCTCTCGCTGACCCTCTCAGAGTTTGTCCCTCATAGCTTCCGAATCTGCTCTATTTTCTGCTGGCTTTGCTCTCCCACAGAACCTTTCCCAGGCTCAGCAGGATGATACACCCCAGAGCTGTGCTGAGAGTAGCAGGGAGAGGAGTAACGACCACCCAGGAAGGCTCCAGACTCACAGGAGCCCTGAGCACCCACAGAGCTCCCATAGCTGAAGGAGCTGCCCAGTCCCAGGGGGGCTGA